ATTCGAAAACCCCGCGCAATTCACGCCCCCCTACCCCTATATAAAGGTCGATGAGCCGGACCACCCTTCTGTTATCTCTCTCTCTCGGGAAGGTCTCGAGGGCGGCCTCGCGGAGCAGGGCCTCGCTTCGCAAGCTTTTCTCTCATCCCGCTGGGGTTTCGTCCAAGAACGACGCTTCCGGCGAGTTCTTGGAGGAACACGGGCCGCGGAGGCCGAGCTTCTTCGAGTTCCTCGCGTTCTTTGCTTCGCAAACTCCCGTGGCGGTTCCGGCGAGTTCTTGGAAGCACAAGCCGCGGATCCGACTCTCGTCTCCTCCCGCTACGGTTTCATCCAAGAACGGCTCTCCGGCGAGTTCTTGAACCGGGAACCGCAGAGCCCGAGCTTCTTCTAATTCTTCGCGTCCGAGAAGGCTCGATCTCCTCCAGCTAGGGCCCAAGGACGGGCTTCAGGGGTTATCCTTGAAGAGAACGAGCCATGGAGCCCGAGCTTCTTCGAATTCGTCACGTCTTCTCGAATTCCTTCGCTTCGGACGCCCTTCTCTCATTCCGAACATGGTTTCGTCCAACAACGGGCGATTCGGGCGAGTTCTTGGAAGAGAGCGAGCCACCGGCCTCGAGCTTCTTGGAGATCCTGTCGTCTGAGAGGGCGAAGGTCTCCACGCTGGGGTCAGCCTTGGCCCTCTGACATTCCGATCGAATGCCTTCCGCGGCCCATGGGTGGATCGAGTCCTTCGCCAGCACGGTCTTGGTAACTTCTTTCCTCCTCTGTTTCAAGATAAATGGAATTAGGGTTTAGGAATCCTCTGGAAGTTGAGGGGGTCAACATGAGGCGAACTATAGTACCAAGAAACAGTGTTACGCTCGACATGCCTGATTTGCTTCATAAATATAATCTTAATCATTCACCAATGCTATATATCATTTATATGAAATTTCATGAATCTCATGTCCTTGTTAACTTGTTTGTGATATTGAACAATTTTATCGGATAATGAGCATCTACACAACAAAGAAAAATTGATATGATTTACTATTCTTCTATTCGACTCTTTTTGGTTCAGTGACCAAAGTCTTTCAGCCTGTAATGTATGACTTATTTTGTGTGATTCTGAACTAATTTTCTGGGGATAATAGTATATGTAATATCTATGGCTGTAATACTTCTAATTAATGAAGCCCCTGATTATTATTATTATTCCAAAAATGAAGTTGATATGCCAATGCTCGTCTTTAAAGTTATTATTCTTCCTCTGTTCTTTGAGTGTTTATGCTGAACCTGAAAACTTGTGGACTTTATTCTATATATTAAGGCTTTCCTTTGCTCCCAAAATGTTATATGGCTATCGGCTGATCTTTTTTTCCTTGATATCATCTCGTTTTCTAAACCTGTATCAGTTTCTTAGTATCTTCATATATACTTCTTGTGGCCTCATATCATCATCAACAGTTGCAGTGGAGTTCCATATAATGATGGCAAGCTAGCTTGACGTATCCATACAATGTCTTAGCCAAGAAGAAGGGTTATTGAGGTACGATCCATAAGTTACAGGCTTATTTTACTTTGGTTTTTTTGTTCCATAAACTTTATGCTAACTGTTCAGTTCCCATATTGTACTTATCTTCAAGTATTTGCACTTTATATGGCTGCAAGAAAGCAAAGTTCTCGTTGTCTAAACAGTCGGAAGCACTGGAAACATGGATGCTCGGTCATTTGCAGAAGCAGCTCAGGTCGACGGTAGCAAGTATGACGTTTTCTTTTGTGCGGTTGAAAGCTTCATGATCCATACAATTATGAATTTCTTTTTGGCACAATGTGCCGAAAGATACTCTCACCCATGCTCGTCCGAGTCGACGATGACTCGGTTAACCTCTTCACGTCGGTTGTTTCCTCGAGGTGGTCTCACTCAAGGTAGTTGTGTCTTCAAGTTAGCATCATTAAATCGGTCGCCTTTATGACATTTTCAAAACAATCATGTTTTCAAATTGATCGTACCCTTGAAGACCAATGTCTTTAAGAAGGCCGCATCATCAAATTATATCTTTAAGAAGGTCGATCGTTGGTTACATTGTCAAATCTTCTTTGTTGTTAAATTGATTGCGTCCTTAAGACGGTCGTATTGTTAATGCGATTGTACCCCTCAAAACTATCATTTTCTCAAATCATGCGTGCCTTTAAAATATGACTACACCATCAAATCGATCACACGTCTGGGACGTCATCAAGTTGGCCTTGTGTTTATATCATCCTTACATCGTTCTTAAGTCGATCACAGCTTTGTGTCGACTGCACCGTTCCTTCGAGTCAGCCGAAGAAGCTCGACTTGATTGAGTGGGATGCTACCTGACCTTTTCATGTTGGGAGTACGTCGGTTGTTGCAAGAAGATGACTGTAATTGGATGCCATTGAAACACAACCTGATGGTAAAATCTTTTCCTTATGGAGTTTTCCATCTCTATTACCAGACCGTACATGCTTTGACGTCAATATTAATAATTAAACTATAATAAGCGTTGACGGTCATGATCACACAAATTTGACCAGAGCCCGATCCACTTTGGTCGGGTCAACCTACGCCTAATCAAACCCGACCAATCTTGTTCGGGTCAGCCCATGACTGATTAAAATCAGCCTACCATGATCAGGTCAGCCCAAACCCGACTCAAGCTTAACCGGACACGCACGATGTATCTATTCGCTTCCTCGGATACAATACATCCACTCAAGACATCAGCATAGCAAATCCTACCTCTATATATATATATGTATATATATATATGTATATATATATATATACATATATATATATATGTATATACATATATATATATGTATATACATATATATATATATGTATATACATATATATATACATATACATATATATCTATTCGCTCAAGACATCAGCATACCCGACTCAAGCTTAACCGGACACGCACGATGTATCTATTCGCTTCCTCGGATACAATACATCCACTCAAGACATCAGCATAGCAAATCCTACCTCTATATATATATATGTATATATATATATGTATATATATATATATACATATATATATATGTATATATATATATATACATATATATATATATATATATGTATATACATATATATATATGTATATACATATATATATATGTATATATATATACACACACAGCCCAATCAGATCGATATGAC